TATTTCTGATAGTTTATTAAATCATACCCAGATATTCTCCAAGAGTTTTTTCTCCAGCTCCTGCTTGTACATGTCCAGCTTTTTTCTTCAGAGCTGTGCCTGCTAGTTCTTTTAAGCACATCAGCTTGATCCCAAACGGAAAGGCCATAAAGGCTGCCTGTGGCAAGCAAAGGCGACGGCCGTTTCCATTGCAGTCTCGTCAGCTGTTGAGCTGAGGCCATGCGGCAGTGAGCACAGGCTGTGGTGGGACAGCGACGGATGTGCTGTCAAGTGGAAATGGCAGCTGAGAGCAGGGAGAAGAGGGGCCACCGCCTTTTTTTCAGTTAGAGCCATGGGGAGGCGTTGAGTCCCTCCTTCATGAACCGTGAACTTGTCAACAGGCAGTGGGCACTGCCATCCTTCTGGCTGCTTGTCAACATCCACACTCAACCTCATTGGGTCACGTATTTAGAAATGGGTTATGACAGTGTGTGCACAGATGTCATCTTTTGTGGGCATGAGCGAACAGCAGCAGCGGTGGGCTTTCTGAACACAGAGGGAGCAGCCAGGGGGAGGCAGAAGGCCAAAGGCTTTTTTTTTGAAAAAAAAAGAAAAATCACACTTAAGGATGGTTCATGCTCTGTAATTCAGCATGAACAGGAGTAAACAGCTGGAGCTACTTTCCCCACTCTACCCATTGCAACTTTGGAGACCTCCTTCAATGTCCTCCCCCAAAAAAAGGAGAAAAATTATTCACATTTGTACACAACACCTTTTGCTTCGTACTAAAAATCTTAGCTCTGACAGTCTCACACAGCCTGAGGAAAACTTTGTTGTTCGCTGACACACTTTGCTGCTCAGAGGTCACCGCCACCGCCGCGTGTGGTGTCACGGCACGAAGCAAGTGCTTCATTTAAAACTTGCAGTTAACACCATCAGGTTACGGTGGCTTTGACGTTACGGATGGCAAAGTGTGTGTCTGAAACTCTGCTGCTTTGCGTTGTCCTTTGCCGCTTTGGGCCTTCAGCCGGTCTCTGCCACACAGCGCGGCCCAAGCGTACAGGCTGTGAGGCTGAAGGCTTCGCTTCGGAGTGGCAGAGGTTCTGCTGTAGGTTAACCCAAGCATTGGTAGCCTCGGCAGTGTTGATACATGTATAACAAGTATTTTAAATTAATAAGTTACATAGGAATAAAAGCTTTTATCCCTTTCTTTTTCGTAATAGGAACGGAACGGAAAATCCAGGAACTTCTGGAAAGCAGAAAAAGACTGGATAACAAGATTGAGCTACTGCAGGACTTAAAAGACACCATCGTTCCTACCCCAGAGAACACCGCTAGTACCTCTAGTACAGTATCTGAATAACTCCTAAGTCTCTCCGTAACGGTGTCAATATTTAGGATTTTTTTTAATCATGGAGCACGTCTGGTCTGTGTCTAAGTAATTCCCTCCCCACCTCCCCTCCAAGATAGGGACACAAGCGAGAATGGGGTGTTTTACTCATTTTTGTACCTCACTGTTGCAATAATTTCAAGTCATCCCTTTCTTTAAATTTTATCAATGAGTGTTATACACGAAATTTAGCTTTTTTTAAAAGCTTGACAAAACCTTCCAGTAAAGACTTTTTTTCTCAAAGACAAGGGAGCATCAGCTGCCACAGAGCACTTCTTGGAGTCACTTTATGTGTGGAAGCCCTCCTCTGACTGTGTGGTGGCTGCTTCACTGTCTGCACCCAGACAGTGATGTTTTCAAGGATCACATTGCTGCTTTGGCTTTCCAAAGAAGATAAATTAGCAGAACTTGCACTCAAAGAAGCCTTCTGAATTATAAACAGGAGTTTGTTTGTTTGTTTTTTAATTAAATGATTCTTGGTTGACTTCTTAATGTATAACTAGTTCTGCTGTAATGGCAGTGGTGAAACAGCGTTTGCAGGCAGACCAGAAACGGTTGGGCATTATACTCTAAATAACACATACAATGTAAAATGGATCAAACAATGGACTGTATCTTCCTTTCTCCTGTAAGAAAGGATGTAACTTCCATGTGCTTTGTCTTAAAAAAAAATAATAAATCATTTGAATACAGAAAAGCATTGTTTAGCTACAAAAGGGTAAGTTAAAAATAAAACGTTTTTAAGAAAGCTGTGTGTGTCATCATAGAATGGTTCGGTTTGGAAGGGACCTCAAAGATCATCTAGTTCCAACCCCCCTGCCATGGGCAGGGACACCCTCCGTGCTGTTGGAGGGGGTGTGCTGTGCCACTGTAGCTGCACTACACTGTGCCTCGCAGCTGTGAGCAGAGCGCTCCATCGCCCTGATGATCACCATCAAACAGCACTTGCTGCAGCACCAGCCTACGGAAACTGCTGTACTCTCCCCCAACTAGTACAAGGTCTAATCTGAGCTTGTTCTGGATGGAGATGGAGATCAGGGAGCACAGAATAACAACTTTAAAAACATAAGCCCTTGGGGTAGAACGATGAGCTGTGCCCCACAGAACAAAATCCTGGTATGGGAAAGACACAAAAGCTTATGTGAGCTCTTTTTCTGAATTACTGGCAAGCTTCAGAGCAGCTTAGAGCACAGGTCCTGTACTCTTCCCTGCCAGCCCCCACAGGTTGTAATCATTGGGGTCTAAATTAGTGGCTACAAATAAATTTGCTGTTTTCTGAAATTGAGATCACAAGTATTTGTCAAGCACAGTGAAATGAGTAAGATTCAGCAATACATAGTCTCCAGGGTTAGTTCGGCTTTGGTTTTTGTGTTTTTTATGCTGTATGTAATGCAAAAAGCTTGCCCTTTTCTTTAAAGTCTAAAGAAGATACTACTGAACAGGTACAAAAAAAGTGAATTTTATTACATGTAGTTTAAATTTACACAAGACTTAAATGCAAAACCCCCATTTTCAGAACAGTGTATCGCTTCCCTTCCAAGGGAACCAGTGCAATCTGAAGTCACCAAAGAGGGAATTTTTTCCATTAACCATTATAAATATTGCTTGAACAGATTACACAAAGTACATGATACAACTTATAGTAAGTTTTACCCAAATACAGAGATTTACTTCCAATTAGATTTGCTAGTTACCTCTGTCTTCCAAGCCACTTGCGTAGGCTTTGAGGATGTGTTGTTTTTACACACTTTTCTAAGCACTGAATACTCCGGTTAATTACACAGCGAATGGCAAACTCATTCGCAATCATGCAAATGCAGTAGGAGATACCCATGCCATTTGCTTCTCCGTCATCCCAAGGAGTTACTGATTTAAGCGGCATCATTCAGGAGCTCAAGTCAGACCACTCTCCAACCCCAAAAAGTAAACTGAAAACATTAACAGCTGGTGCTAGAACTGAGATCTCCGAGGCTAAAAAGGGAAGTCCTTAACACCAGCTGGTATCCTTTGCACACTGCAGTGTTTCCTCTCTCCCTCTGAAATCTTTAGCTGGGTCCACCATCCAGGTTTGCTAAATGCAAGTGAAAATTTCATTTGATGTTTTTTTACAACAGTTCACTCTTGAGCACAGAACACATTTGTTCTCACTGTGGCCTTTCCCTTCTGGTACAAGACAGCAGGTAATGATGCTTTTACCCGTACAGTTATGGTATCCTGTTAGAACTCCAAGAAACCCTACAAACACCCATGACTTACAGCCTCATTTCAGTTCTTAAAGGCTCCACATTTACTGGCTTTAGCAATGAATTCCTTCAGCAGGGGACCATCCATCTGCCAAAATGCTGTAGTTTGTGTCACTTCCGTCAAATGATTGACACAAAACTTAAAGCAGAATTCCTCTAAGTCCTAAAGAGAAAAATAAAAAAGAAAGAAAAAAGCTTACTATCTTTGCTTCCATCACAAAAAATTACAGTCAGGCACAAAGGCCTGTATATGCTTTATTTTTGCAGAGAATTAGACAAATACATTAACTCGGTGGCTCTCAATGTTTTCCACCCCCCACTATGTAAATACAACAGGAAATAATAATTCTAACCATGTTACATGGTTACAAGGAGAAAAGTAACCAGAATTTGGTTCTCACTATATAGCTGCAGTCACAAAAATCAGCTATTCTGACCAATACATATTTTTAAAGTTTTCCTACTTGAAGAGTTTCACCTGCATTCATTGACAGCTATTAAAGCCCAATACAAGTAGGAGATCTTGGGGTAATGATCCATAACCAAGACTGTAGATTAAGAAAATTCAGCTCTTTTGTTCCATAATACAAACTCAAATCTATACGTAAGGTTACTTGATCTCCTGCTTAGTTGACAGCCCAACTAAAACCTCGAATGAAGTTGCATGTCACCAGGCTCAACGCAAGCGTATACTAACTGGATAGATGTAAAGCCCAGTTCAGGCAGACAGCCCTTCTGCGCATTGGAAACAGACCCATATTAAAAAGGATTTCACAGATATCCCAAAAATGCTCCAAAAGAAGTACTGTGGCACAATACAGCACAGTAATTCTTGCAGAAAGCAGACTCTGGATATTTGAGTCTACTTGGGAGCACCCTCCACTTAACAATTAGAAAAGCCTCACAACCATCATAGCACCCGCATGATGTCAGACAGAAAGGATGTCTGAAAACCCAGGTCACAGTTGTTGTCAATATAAGGTTGACCACAGAACGCTTCCTATTCCGATTATTTGTTTCCAACCCCTCTTTCAAGGTGGAAATCTTTCTGTGGTGCAGATCTAAGCTGCTATAAGGAGGATGCTGCAGCCCTTACAAAACAGCAGCTCCCCACCCTGTTCTAATTTCTTTCTTACTGGCTTGTAGAACCAGTATTTACACGTGAGAACACACCCTTCCTTAGCTGCTCAGCAGACTGGGTGCTGCAGTAAGGCGTAACAGATTTGCAGAGCTCTCTAAGCCACATGAGGTATGAAAGACTGAATAATATTCATGTTTTCACTTCAGGTAATACTGAAAAAGCTAGAGCAACTGTGCCAGTGAGAGTTCTTGACACAACAATAATATAAAAATATATCCTGGCCTAAAACCAGGCATTCTGAAGCTGCAGATCTTGACTTGTGTGGCATCTGTGCAACGAAAAAAGACAAGCTTATTAGAACTGAACACTGATGGTTCTCTTTTTTTTTTTTAAATAACAGAGTGAACTAGCATTTTAAACAAAATTACATCATACACATTACAATATTTTGCACTGCTTTATTAAAAAAATCATATTTCAAGTCAATGCAACAAAAGCATACAACAAACAGAAATATAGTATTAGTCAGTAACTTTGGAAAACTTAAAAGTTCTGTATAAAAAAAGGCTTAATTTGGTTGCAGATGGATGCACTCCCAGCAAACTGTACTTAATATAACTCAAGTGAATAAAGACACAAGGTACATCCAATGATTATTTTAAAAGCAACAATAACAAGCCAGAACTGACCTAATTCTAGCCACTTCAATTCACTCACCAAAAGAAGGTACAGGAGAGTTTCATGTCATGGAGGTATTTTAAATTAGTGAAGCAGCTTCTTTTTACTGTTGTCGTCCAGACACACAGTGCCTTAAATGAACTACATCACTCAAGCAATTTCAAGCCCCACCTAGCACTACTGCATGGAAAAACCACTTTTAGTTAAAAATCAACACCCATTTGCTCCTTGATGTAGCGTTTAAGCCTATGGTTCTACTTCATTTCACAGAATCACAGAATGCTAGGGATTGGAAGGGACCTCAAAGGATCATCTAGTCCAGTCCCCCTGCCAGAGCAGGACCACCTGGATCAGATCACATCATTTATGATGATCAGATCATTTAGCTAGTGAGGTACAGCCAAGGCACGGGAACTGGATTTCTTCTACCTTTTACAAGTGGAATCAATCACGCACTGAAAACTCATCCTGCAAACCTTTTAAGGCTGAAAAATGGAAGTCTTTCTATTTTCCATGAACTCCCACCGAAGGAATCGTTATTCACAGTAGAGTTGAAGGCACAATTCAGACACTAACAGCCCTTTGAGTAAGGTGTATCAAACAAGCAACACACTACAAGGCTCTGAAATAAGTCAGGGCATCTGCCAATTGCTGGATATTAAGTACAAGAAAAAGCAATGTGTTGATTTACTGAGTACCAAAACTGCTGTATAAGCGTAAGTAGCAAGTTAAAAACTATCCAATTGCAAAGTTGCAAACATGATGCACAGGTACTATGCTGAACACAAACAGCCGAAGCAAGCCCAGGAATCCTTCCTGATGAGTTCACAAAGCAGCATGTTAGCGATCTTGTAGGAAGTCAGGCATTATGCAGAAGGGAAGTTTGGCAAGCCTTCTCCCCTTTTCATACACTTTCTGTCTTCAACATTTATTAGGCTCACAAAGCAGTTCTTATCCTGTCATTTCATTAGCATACTGTGAAGACTGAAAGTGTATTGAACTGTAGCTAAACAAAACAAAACAGCCAACCAAAAAAAACCCCAAGTGTACTCAATCCCCAAACCTACCACCATACGACATCACACACAACCTCATAAATAAGTACCTTAAGAATTACAAGACTGCTTTTCATAATGTTATGCATTTTGCTTTGTATTTAAACCCTTCTCTTGTTTCAGAGTTAGTGTTTTCATCCTCAGAAATTTTTTGTTACAGTTTTTTCCCCCCCTCCCACAGAAATAGTAATTCATGAAGCTTGGCACAGCATCATAACCTTTTACCAGGAAATTAAGCAATGCAAACATTCACAGACACTGAGTCTCAGCCTGGGACTTAAGTTATCTTTAGATGTCTGCATACTCGGTTCACCTTCCCAGTATTGGTTGGAGGGGGGAGATAAAAACTGTATTTGCCATGAGATGTGTAAGCTGAATGTTCTCAAACTCTGAAAATGGCAAATAGTATTATCTGATAGTAAGTGAGAGAGCTTATATGAAAATGTCACTGGCTGCTTTTCTCCACAGTTTAAGTCAGAAAGCAGCCACCTACTTAAGAGATGGAAGTTTAGAAGTTTACCTCTGCATCATATCTGACAGCAGCAGAGAGCAATGAAAATGCATTTTCCACAGTAATTCCTCTCTTGATAATGTGTTGACACAGTTTTTTCAGTCTATTTTCACAGTACGAAGTAGCCAAATCCAACAGTCCTGCAATTAAAACACCATCATATTAGCCGGTTGTGATGACCTCTGCTCTTTCAACAACAGTTTCTGCTCCCGGGGTACAGACTGCATTTGTATTCTGTATGCAATGTTCTGTATGTCTATAACATGCTTTTTGCAAGTAGGTCGCTATTCAGAAAAATGTATTTTGCCATTACACAGGAAGAAAGGCCTTTTATTACCTCATGCCGCCACCCTGTTAATCTCTGTAAATATGCAAGCTGTTCCACCGATTTGCATACCTAACTGCTTGCCAGAGTGGAACTGTCACAAAACAGGCACCACAACACAAGCAAAAAGCTACCATTATAAAAATCTGTGCTCCAACTACAGCTTGCTCTTTGCTCTGCTGTCCAAGTTTCCCTATTAGATCTACTGAGATTCTTTGACATTATCCTAAACAATAATTGACCCGATTTAGTAAAACATGCAAGAATTTTAACCCAGAGAAATAGTTTCTCGCCCAATCTTGAAAAAAATGCTCATAGTTTGTTTCTAAATATGCACCACTTGTGCTGTAGTAAGTATGCTACAACAGCATTTTATCACCAATAAAATGTATAAACAGGCTAGACTAGGAGCCTATGTTAATACATATGTTCTGCATCCCCATCTCAGTTTTTCTGGATGCTGCTTTCTAACATAATTGGACCATAAGCAATACCTATTGCATCTTCAGGCGGAAGGTCAACACTGTCTGTATACAAGTACTCAAGAAAGGCACGATACACAGGATAAGAAAACTGGTCTATTTCTATCACTTCCTTCATATCCTCATTCCAGTATGACTGGAACATGGTTCTGAAGTGTTCACACCTAAGAGACAAAGACATCATCTGGAACGCTATCATATGAACACATGAATGTTACATTACAGTTCCCCTGAAATACATGTTTGGGGCACTCTGCAATATCCACAAATATTTCACCATACCCCAGCACAGTGGTCCACGTTTTGGTTCCTAATACTGTGGGCATTGTTATACTTATGTATCAAGATAAAACTCTTATTTGATCTATGCTACAGAAATGTCTGCGTACACACTGCAATCAGACCAACCTAACAGAATTTAGTATCATGGGAACAACAAATGGGCTTATTGAATATGGACCATTTTAAGATGGAGTTTTGATTCAACTCCTTTTACAACCACTTCATTTAAAGTGATTATGGATACATAGATGCTATGTAAATACAGGTTTAGGGGTCCCTTCCTGCCCCTTCCTTTCCACCCCCCTCCACCCCTTAGATGCAGTACTAAGAGGTTATTCTGTATAAACAAGAGCTGCGAAACGTGACCACTACCTGATTTTCAGAACAGCTTTGTGGACATGGATGTACTTTCCATCCACACGGAACTTTAGGTCTGAGGTTTCCGGGCTGTCAAACTCTTTCTTCAGAGACTCTGCTACTGTTAAAAAGTCTTCATGCTCTACAGAAACAATTTTAGAACAAACAAAAAAAACCCATGTTGAGCATCTTAAATAGAACACACACACATCACTAACTAAAGCTAGCAGCTCAACTAAGAGCATGCCAAGGAAAATACGTCAGTAGCAGAGCTCCATTGGCTTAAGCAGTGAAATGGGAAGAATGAATTAATCTAATACCATTTCCTGTTGGCAAGGACTGCTCCACAACAGCTACGGGTTGCAGTGGTCAGCAGTTTCCATTCCAGCTCATTGCACAGAGGAAGCACAGCACCAAGGAAAGCACCTGAAGAACTTCCTTTCCCATTCCCTGCCTGGGCACCACACACAAAATCACCAGCCTCCTGGCAGCTCAGCACTAGTGCTAGATCAGCTCTGCAACCCGCAAACGGCTCTGCAGCTAACCTGCAGACTGCTGGTAATAAGAGTCTACAGCATCATCTGCAACTCACTTGAGACACAGTGTACAGTACTTCAGCCACACTGACATGGTGTGATCTGAGTCTAAACAGTAAGAAAACGTGTCACCAGTTGGACACTTTTTTGTGCTGACAGATTGGATATAGCCTACGGGTTGTCTGTTAAGGTCTTTGCCAGGGCTCACTAACATGTACTATCACTGACGCCATTATACTCAGTTTATTCGTCAGCTATGACAACACAAAATCCAACAGCAGCGCTGTTGAAGAGAGATAGTAGATACTGTGTTCTTGGTACAACCAAGAACATAGGACTTGAGCAATTTTGGAAGTGGATTAAAGCTGAGATATCACAGCTCTTTGACAGTGCTTTATATTAAGGCCTATCACACTGGTTCCTCAGAGGTCCCATTCTGTGTCTCTAGAAATCATACAAGAGTTGCAGCACAAGTTGGCTAAGGCTTGTGGTAAAGCAAGAACTCTGAAGTTTTAGAAAACCTGATTTAACCTACTATCTGAAGCTTCTGTTCATGCATCTTAAAAATGTGTCTCAAAACACACGGCTTCTAAGAAGCAAAGTATGGAAAAGAAAAATGAGTGGATTTTCATTGTAACAGGATGTAGTCTGTCTCCTGTGTCCCACAGGACTGCGTATTGTTCAACCATATACAATCTTGCGTGTATCAAGAATAGTGTGACCAGCAGGAGCAGGGAAGTGATCCTGCCCCTGTACTCGGCACTGGTGAGGCCGCACCTGGAATATTGTGTCCAGTTTTGGGCCCCTCGCTTTAAGAGAGATATTGAGCTCCTGGAGCGGGTCCAAAGAAGGGCGACTAAACTGGTCAAGGGGCTGGAAAATAAAACTTATGAGGAGCGGCTGAGGCAGTTGGGGCTGTTTAGCCTGGAGAAGAGGAGGCTGAGGGGAGACCTGATTACGGCCTATAAATACTTGAGAAAAGATGGTGGGGAGGTGGGGGAAGGGCTCTTTACATTAGTGATGGGTGATAGAACAAGAGGAAATGGGCATAAGCTTAGTCAGGGGAGATTCAGGTTGGATGTTAGGAAGTATTTCTTCTCTGAAAGGGTTGTCAGCCACTGGAATAGGCTGCCCAGGGAGGTGGTTGAGTCCCCATCCCTGGATGTGTTTAAGAATAGGGTGGATGATCTACTTGAGGATATGGTTTAATGGGGATTAGGGATGGTTGGACTCGATGATCTCTAAGGTCTTTTCCAACCTAGAAATCTATGAATCTATGAATCCACAAATTACTCTTCACCATTAGAGACAGATAAATTAGCTGGTATTTAAAAAGAAATACTGCTGTAACAAACAAGTCATGTTTGCCACAAAAGACCATACACTCCTCTGATTTACATGGATCATCCACAGAACCTAACTAAGCCATGCTCCAATCCCCCTGCATTCGTTCATGTGATTTTTTTCTAGGTCATCAGCTTAGCTTAAGCTATGCAGAAGATTAACTTTCACTCCAAATACCTTAAGTTCATTCCTTGTAAAAGGCTGCACATTTGTACTTCACCACAGCCTATCCTGAGTGATTCATTTTTTTGGCAGAGCCATCGTAATTGCAAGTAGAACAATAACCTTTATGCAGAGTTAGCTCTCACTAACAAAAAACAACGCAAACAAACAAAAAATATTAAAAGAAAAACGGGGGGTTTTAACCTATATGAATAAAAAAGGTGAGGAAGAAAAAGATTTGTATGGAAAATGAAGATTAAAAATGCCCCCAGATTAATGCTTTTGATTTAAATATTCAGTAAGCAGGATTATCAGAATAAGAGGGAAGAACCCCCAAAGTCTAAGAGGAATTGAAATGCAAGTGCAAAATTCAAATACCTTATTATACTCAGTCTGGGAAACATTTCATAAAAATCAAGAACTTGAAAGGTGCTGAAACTGGGGAGATGTCACTTAAACAGTCTTTGCTATTAGCGAAAGGCAACAGACCTGGACAACCATCAGACCTCTACAGAGGGCAAGACTAACACATATCGCAGAGGATTAGAGAATGGAGAAAGTGAGAAGTGGGATAAAACAAGACTTGGATTTACCCAGAAGCAGATCACTCCAAGCTAATCTTCTCTCTCTTTAGTAAAAATATTCAGTTTTCCTCTCTAGACGAGATGCTGTTATCTGGACCTCTATAAATGTGATAACATGCTAAATGAGAAGTTAAGATGGAGAAGCTGGGTTAGGAAAAGTCACGTGCAAAGATAAGTTCTGCATCTGGAGAAAGGTTACTTAAGATGTGACCCCTCCACAAAACCAGTTTTGTACGAGGACTAACAAAATTAGGATCTGTTGTCAATATGAAAACAGATTAGATCTCCCAAATGATCTTGAGAACTGAAGCAGCAGATCTAAGATAAAAATCACATTCATGTTCTCGATTTCAGAAGAGCTGACTTTCGCCACTTCAGGAACCTCCTTGGTAGTGTGCCATGGGATAAAACCCTGGAAGGACTGGGAGCCCAAGATTGCTGGTTGACTTTCAAGGATCATCTCCTCCAAGTTCAAAGGCATTGCATCCCTAAAAAGAAGAAATCAGGCAAAAACACCAGGAGACCTATATGGATAAACAAAGAACTCCTGGCTAAAATCAAATACAAAAGGGGATTACACAAAGCATGGAAGCAGGGACTGGTAACCTGGGATGAGTACAAGGAAGTTGCTCGTGTACTCAGAGACCAGGATAGAAAAGCTAAGGCCCTGACAGAGTCAAATCTGGCCAGCGATATTAGAAATAACAGAAAAGGATTTTATAGGTATGTGAGAGAAAAAAGGAAAATGAGAGAGAATGTGGGGCCCCTCCGGAAAGATATGGGTGACCTGGTTGCTGAGAACATGGAGAAGGCTGAAATATTCAACAACTTTTTAGCCTCAGTCTTCACTGGCAACCACTCGAACCACACCACCCAAATCACACAGGATGTTGGCTGGGTCTGGGAGAGTGAAGAACCACCCAGGGTAGGAGTAGATCAGGTCCGGAAACACCTAGAGAACCTGAAAGTGCACAAGTCCATGGGACCTGATGAGATACATCCACGAGCCCTGAAGGAACTGGCGGCTGAAGTTGCTAGGCCACTAGCCATCATATTTGAGAGGTCCTGGCAGTCTGGTGAGGTTCCTACAGATTGGAAAAGGGCAAACATAATCCCCATCTTTACAAAAGGGACCAAGGACAACCTGGGAAACTACAGACCAGTCAGCCTTACCTCTGTGCCAGGTAAAATCATGGAACAGATTCTCCTGGTAGCTGTACTAAGGCACATAAAAAATAACCAAGTGGTTGGTGACAGCCAACATGGCTTCACTAGGGGCAAGTCGTGCCTGACTAAGTGGCCTTCTACGACAAAGCTACAGCGCTGGTTGACATGGGTAAAGCAACGGATGTAGTTTTCCTGGACTTGTGCAAGGCGTTTGACACTGTCCCACATGACATCCTTGTCTCTAAAATGGAGAGACATGGATTTGACAGATGGACCACTCGATGGATAAAGAACTGGCTGGATGGTCACACTCAAAGAGTTGTGGTCAATGGTGCAATGTCTACATGGAGACCAGTGTCAAGCGGTGTCCCTCAGGGGTCTGTTCTGGGTCCAGTGCTGTTCAACATCTTTGTCAGCAACATGGATGATGGCATTGAGTGCACCCTCAGTAAGTTTGCCGACGAAACCAAGTTGTGTGGTGCCGTGGACTCACTTGAGGGAAGAGATGCCATCCAGAGGGACCTTGATAGGCTTGAGAATTGGGCCAGTGATAACTGCATGAGCTTCAACA